CAGCCTCAACAGCCAGGACTGCAAGCAAGTCCAAGAACACACGAAACCATCAGCGTGTAGATGCAAGCTCCAACACCCACGAACATCCACAGCACGACTTCGATTCCCTAAAAGATCAGCCTCATATAATCAGCATCGCCATGTCGCCTACTCAAGTCATGATGAGGCCCTGCCGTTCACCCTTCCAGCTGGACGGATCATCAGAGACATACTTCATGAGGTACCCTGGATCAGGTCAGCAACCCCGGCATCCGATAGCACCCGCCACGTTCTAATATGCCAGCAGCCGCGCTCCCGCCTCCTTCGGTTGAGCCTCTCCCCACCAAGCAGGAGCTCCTCGAATTGTGCGATACCGTCCGAACCTCTCTTCGCCAGAACAGATGCCTGGGCCCCAATGCAGACAGGATCCAGAGCCTTCTCGAGAGGGCTCTCAAGGAAGAGCTTCGCCACACCCCGATCCTCGACTTCGATACTCTTCAGTACGCCCGCCTCGACAAGCTCCTCGCCGACATCGTCGACCCCGCCAACCGGCCTTCGCCACTACCTCTCCGCTTCCGCGCCGACATGGCCGTCGCCGAGAGCTTGCAAAAGATGTGGCGCGCGCGCTTCCGCGACCAGTACTTCGCCATCGACCAAATCCGCCAGCGCAGCCTGTCCATCGGCGGCGAGATGCGCGACATTAGCTTTACCGCTACCGGCAAGGATCCCCTCGAGTCCTGGACCGTTCAGGCTAGTTGCCGAGACCCCATCTCCGAGCTCGAGGGAAACCAGCAGTACGAGCCTGGCCAGTAAGTAATTGCCCATCTTCATCACATGCACTTATACTCACAAGTCGCAGCTGGTGGCTGAACCTGGCCTGCGCCCACCGCGACGGCATCCTCGGCACCGCAGCCGAGAAGCCCACCAAGAGCAAGTACGGCATCACTGCCCTGCCTCTCCTCACCGGCCGCGAGGAGCACATCCGCGGCAACCTCTACCGATACGTCCGCGAGGGTCGTCTGTCCGACATGCACGTCTCCCTCCTCACCCAGGTCGGCACCCAGATCCGCATCCTCAGGGGCTACCGCCTCAAGAGCACCCTCGCTCCCCAGGCTGGTGTGCGATATGATGGCCTGTAAGTAGCATTACTTGCTTACACTCTTTTGATCCTCGACTAATTGGACAATAGTTACACCGTCCGCCAGTACGGCAACAAGCTGGACGCCACCACCGACAAGTACCGCCTCGAGCTTCTTCTCGAGCGTGTTAACGGCCAGAAGGACCTCGAGCAGGTACAGCAGATCCCTCGCCCGTCGCAGATCGACGATTGGCAGGCGTTTAAGAAGGTCGAGGCCGAGATGGTCCGCCAGCGCAAGGGGGACGACGGCCTGCTCGACTTAAAGATGCGAAAGGAAGAGGAGCGCATCGATCGCGAGCACTGGAGGCGCGCGAGCGAGTTCAAGGCCTCACTTTGCCAGGAGGGATGCGGTCTGGGACTCATCATGCCTGTTTAAACCGGGAGAAGAAGCTGAAAATGGAGGGAGAAGCAGCGCTGCGTCTTGATTGATTTCTCACGAATACCCTGTATTACCTACGACACCTGTACCACTACTACCTTATGATTAATGATGACGAATGATGAACCATGCCTGAGCTTTTTGTCTACTGTGCCTTTTTGCTTGATTTGTCTAGCCCGGCGAGATGGCTGCTTCAATGGCGGCGGTTGCACGACGGAAAAGCTACGAGCAGTGTTCACCCTGTGATCGACGAAGACATTCATCGTTACCAAGACTAAGTAATAGAGGCACGGCAGAACGGGACCGGCCGATGAAGAAGGGTGTTGACGAAATAGATAGGCAGTAGGTTGCGTCATGTCTCGTAGAAGACAGGAACACCATATTTAAAAATTGAATCGGACGAATTAAAGCCCCAGTCATCCAGCAGTTACTGTGAAAATAGAAACGAAACATACAATCGTTAAGTGTGCATGAGTATGCATCTCGTGGTCAGGACGCAGTACATTGTAAGACGCCTGTGGGCCCGTTTCCCAAAACGCCGAGGTTTTCTGTTCGAGGCTCCCATCGCGCAGTTTTCATTCCAATTTTGCTACCTTAAAGAGTATGATGCGAGTAATAAAAATTACATCGTCGTGATCGCAAGAATCAGGAGAAGCCGATGCAAAAGAAACGCAAAAAAATTGGTAGCTTCTCTTTGATTGAGCGTGTCATCCTTAGTGCAGGGGCCATGCTAATCTTCTCTGTATCGTTTCAAATTGACCAAATGCCCGAAGGCGAAAGTGAGGCAACGTGGACCGATACATAAGGGCACTTGGTAAAGTGAGTCAGCAGGGTGGTGGCGACAGAGGTTGGCCAGTGCTCGCGGTTGCCTGAGGTGCTGACCGACCACGCTAGATCCCGGCGAGAACATTCCAGCGTCCTTCCAAGGTGTTCCGAGGTGGTTAGCCTGAGGTACACTTTGAATTGGTTGACAGGCATTCGGTTGCACAGAATGACCCACGCTCTGGTCGAATCGACAGTTTCCACTTGGACCGAACTCGGAACATCCAATCACCCTAAACAAAGTAAGCAAGCTGTTTTTGAACAAAGCATCGTATTGAGTATAATTACGTTTCAAAGAGGAGGCAGTCCAAATGCTGCATCGGTATGGGTCGTCTGCCGGCGATTGCTTCCCAGGTCCAGATTCGCTTCAACCTCTGCCAGAATCTCCTGGCTTAGCAGGCTACGCCATGTGTACATCTTGGACGGTTCCCCTTTCGCGCTAAACGGATACCCTGTGGGAGACATCAGCTCCATCTTCACCAACTTGTCGTACTCCCATATGAACAGACCCAGCCGGCGGAACGGTTGCAGAGGAACGCCGCGGATGGGCGAGGGCGGGAAGTGTCGGAGGCGTATGTTTGCGTAAACCCATCCGACGGGGTTTTGACTCATGAGATAGCCACGAGTATGGCCTGCCGGCTCGTCGACTGCGAGAGGGGGCGCGGGCTCCGGCCATTCTGTGACTGAAGCCGTCGTGGTTGAACACGGCAGACTCCACGGGCTGCTTTCCCCTTTGATGCGGTCGACAAAGTCCGATACCGTGAAGAACTCCTCCTTCTCATAACGCAGCGCGCCGTATAGGCCCTCCGCGGAGACCGGACCGCGTGTCTCATCCATCTTCCAGCCTAGGCGGTTCTCCGAGGTTGCCCGTTGGAGTTCGTAAAGCAGCTGCAGCCTCCAAAACCCACGCGTCACCCTGTGCTCTTCGATCCAGACGGGCGGGCCAATGTCATCGGGATTGTACGGGCGGCCCGCGTAGCGATTCTTCCAAGTCTTGTACACCCACCCGCGCATATCGCCTTCTGCGTGTGAGGGAGTTGCCGACAGCCATTGTTCACGGTAATAGGAGAGACAAGCTGGGGTCAGATAAGCGATTCGGCGAGCGATCTGAAGGAGGCTCCTGATGGCTCCTGGTTTTTGGCGCTGGTAAGTACGGGTCAGAGGTGGGATGCTGCTGTAGAATTGCCCCCGGCCGCTGTGTTGCATGTGATGGTTGGCCCGCTTGACAAACGCATCAAGGGATGTTGCTGGTGGGTCATCTGCTGTCGATGTTCGGACAATGGCGACGAGTCGGATCAAGCCAAACACTTGGGGCGCTGTTGAGGTTGCTAGGACGTGCTCGAAAGCCTCAGGGCCCATGGTCGGGCTATCAAAGATGCGGGATGCGGATGGAGAAGCCGTTATGAGATGATGGAGTGTCCTGAGATCGGCAATGTACGAGATGACCTCTGACAGGATCTCAGTCGGAAGATTGTCCAGTGAAGCGGGCGTCAAAGCCATGACGGATGGCTGAAGTACTTGGGTCACGACGTGTTTTTTGATGGATGATATGGATCGCTGCTAAATAGTGACGACGTGTTTGTTAGCTTGAGAAAGGCCATGTCTGAGAATTGGAGCGCGTCCGATGATAGCGTGAGACTCGTGGTGTTGCTCTCCGACATGGCGGCGGCAGCTCGGGTCATCTCCCCCGCATTTCGTCACACCCCTCTCGTGTTGGTTGGTGGGGTGAGAAACAGAGGGTGTGCCTTAACCCCCACTACATGCGGTCAACCCAATTTTCAACACCACCATCACGCCAACTTCACGCAGCCAGCATGGGAAAAAACGACAAGAAGCCCGCCGACAAGAAGGACGGCGGAAAGTCCGGCGGCGGCAAGAAGGGAGGCAAGAGCGAGAGCGAGGACAAGGGCGGCAAGGCGAAGGGCGCGCAGTCCATCAACGTCCGCCACATTCTGGTGAGCGCAGGCTTGTGTCGAGGGTTTACGGAGATTTCATCTGACGAGTGGTTCAGTGCGAGAAGCATGGAAAGAAGGAGGAGGCCATGGCCAAGATTAGGGACGGAGCCAAGTTTGACGAGGTTGCGAGGGAGTTCTCTGAAGACAAGGCCAGGCAAGGTAAGAAACGATTGACAGGGTGACTCACCAACGGCATGAGGGGTAATGATTTTGATTGCTCGATAGGAGGCTCGCTGGGTTGGAAGACGAAGGGTAGCTTGGACCCCAAGTTCGAGGACGTCGCTTTCGCTCTCGCAACAAGCTCAACGTCAAGCCCCGTCATCGGGGAGGCGAAGACGGAGTTTGGTTACCACATCATTATGGTTCGTACACTGATTACAGTCGCCTCAGGTGTTGTTACACATTTGCTGACCTACGACGAGGTGGAGGGAAAGAAGTAGATTCCCGGGCAGCGGCCCACATTGATAGCATCACATCACTAAAAGCATCCAAAAGTGCGCGAGTAATTTGGTTCAAGAGTGCCCAATGCCGTTTCTCTTTGTTTGCCCTGATGCAAGATGACCTGACCTCCAGAGGGAGTCCTCCATTTTTTGTTTCGAGATGCCAGCTGAAGAAGCTAGAGTACAACCGAAAGATTCGTTCGTTGCGGCGGTTCCAGATTTTCCCCGTCGCCCCTCTATACCCCCGTCGTGACGCCCAAATTCAAATCATGAAAGCCAACCCAAATTTACTGCTCGGTCTGGAAGTAGTTGAGGAGGATGGAGCGCTCCTGGGACTCTTCACCCCAGTCCTTGACGACGACGCAAGAGCAGTTGACGACCTTGCGGGCGTTACCCTCACGGTCCAACACGCCTGTCTCCCTGTTAGTCCACGCCCTCCTCCAATATCGCATCCGTCGCCGCGGGGTAACTCACAGAGACCAGCCCACTCGCCGAGCTGCTTGCCGTCGGGAACCTTGATCAGGGGGATCTTGTGCTCGGAGCAGAGAGCAATGACGAGCTTCTTATAGGCCTCCTCCTCGCAAGCCTCGTTGAGGACGCACATGTGGGCCTGGCGGCGGTCGAGGGCCTTGGAAGCCTCACGGAGACCGCGGGCAAGACCGTCGTGCATGAGGGCCAGCTTCAGAACACCCTTGAGGGCGTCCAGAACGGACATCTGGCCCTTGGAGCCAGCATCGGCGGAAACCTCGACCTCCTCGGCCACCTCGGGGGCGTTGTTCTCTTCTACGTCCGACTACAACAATTGCGCAACCCATCAGTCAGCAAGTCTGATCCTGCAACGACAATGGAGAGGGGGCGCGAAGCCCCCATGAAGGAAGCCCGGGGGGGAGGGTCTCGATCGGCCTCGCCCGCACGCCGCATAGTTTCCAATTGCCCGGCACCTCTCAATTGAGCACGCGACGGACAATGCGAAAAGGCGCGGCGAGGGAGATTCGTACGGGGGGTAGTCGGCGGAGACTCACCATCTTGGAATTTTGCGTCAAGTCTCTGTCGGTGCGATCCTCGAAGAGTGGTGTTGTGATGTGTATGGGTAGTTTATGAATAAAATGGTGCTTGTGCGATTCCACGGGAGAGGAGTTCAGCGCTCGAAAAAATTACAGAGTACCAGAGATCGCTTATTGGCTGGCCGGTGGGGTCGCCCAACCGTGCGCTTAGGGCAATTTTTCTCGGGCACGGACCACCCACAACCGAACTGGCGAATTTTTTTGCCTGGGTTTGGTCCACGACAGCTTCGCCCTTTTCCGTTGTTCTCCTCCATACCGATCTCTATCCATCGCCAATTGCCTAACCTTCAGCGGCACCACTACTCAACGAGGTACGTGCAAAGATGCTCATCATGCCGCCTTGATCAAAGCAGGAACTCTCGCCTTTTCCTTGATGCCGGAGAGGAGCAATCAGACGAGTCGCCCGCGACACACGAGAACACGATGATTCCTTCGAGGCCTCTGTTGCGTGCCGCCGACGACGATGATGACATCTGATACGCTTCTCTCTTCAGCAATGAGCTGGCGGAACCCTCTCCTCGATCAAGGCTTGTCTGCCTGGGAGGGCACTCTCCACGCTCAACAGGCCTCGGAAGGCTAACATTTACTTCTTCGCTGGCAGATACCTCATTTCACAAGACTTGAGAATCTCCGCATTCACCAACCGCCAAAATGGTCCGCACCTCCGTTCTCCACGATGCTCTCAAGAGCATGAACAACGCCGAGAAGGCCGGCAAGCGCCAGGTCCTCATCCGCCCTAGCTCCAAGGTCATCGTCAAGTTCCTCCAGGTCATGCAGCGCCACGGTATGTCACGACAACTTCCCACCCATCTGCCTCTTTTCTTTCTTTATCATTGGAGGAATATGGGCCTGTACCATTCGGCATGATAACTAGGGCGACCGTCTCTTTCACTCCCACGACCCAGCCCCTATAAGTTGCCGATATATTGAACGCGGAGATCTTACACCTTTTTCGGATTTTACCTCGTGATGTCAAAGTTTTAGTCTTCCGCAACACATCGCTCATCCATTTCCCAGGCTACATCGGCGAGTTCGAGGAGGTCGACGACCACCGCTCCGGCAAGATTGTCGTCCAGCTGAACGGCCGCCTCAACAAGTGCGGTGTCATCTCCCCCCGCTACAACGTCCGCCTCGCCGACCTCGAGAAGTGGGTTGTCAAGCTGCTCCCTGCCCGTCAGTTCGGCTACGTCATCCTCACCACCTCCGCTGGTATCATGGACCACGAGGAGGCCCGTCGCAAGCACGTTGCCGGCAAGGTCATCGGCTTCTTCTACTAAGCGGATCGGGATATCAAAAAAATGGATGATGAAAAATGGGGCATGGATTTTCAAGGCGTTTGGGGGGAAACATTTGGGTTAGCCATGGCCGGATACCAGCGGACGCCATCGAGCTAGGATCTCATTTACACCATAAGCAATGAACTTCAAGCAAGACCCCCACCAATACGACCACTCTTTCTGTGCCATACTATCGTGTACGTGTGTGTCTTTGCTTGTCAGGCACTGTTGTGAGGTGTGAAATATGTTTCTTAATCGAATCGAGCCGAGATGGTGAAATGAGATGAGCCTGGAGTATGCTCTGCCTGTGGTTTTCCCCGACCGGCAAAGTCAAAACGGATGAGCGAATCTAGAAACGACCTCGTTTATCTCACGTCAAGGCATGTTCCCGTTGCTTTTGCAGAACCCTGAGCTGGGGTTCGAAAGCAATACACCTGACACCGGATTTCTACAACGCCGTTGCAACCTTGAAACTGGTCTGCATACCTACATGTTGTCTGCGAGGGCCGGCTCGGATTCTCGCTGTTTTTCCTTCTTCAACAGCTTGCCGGCTCAATCGGCATGGCAGCGAGCCTCTAGATCGTCCCGATGCCGGACAGATTCTTCATGTAGTCTCAGTCTTCCAAACGATTCCCCATGATTTCAAATCACCACAAACTTTGCGTGGAGTCCTGGTGGGTTACCCAGGCTAAGGGAAACGGGCCCGCAAGCGATGTTTGTCCCCGGCCTCGGCTCGGCAGAGAGGTCGGAGCCAGGTGCCAGGAGGCCCCGCAAGAGGGAAGCGAGACGGGACCTCACCACCACGGTGGGTGGCATGCGAACTAGGGAGACTAAAGTGACTAACTGCTGAGCCTTGCCGGTTTCGAATGGCCTTCTTTTTCGTCTTGGAAGGTTGTACCGTGATTGTTGCTTTTGCGGGATTTCCGCCTTGCATTCCGCCTGCTACTCTGGGTTGATCATGGACGGTCTTGTTCGGAAGAAGCAATTGCGGGACACTGGGCGCGCGTCCAGTGCTCCCGTAGACGACAATCGCCAAGATTTATGATGGTTGGGCAGGTGAGAGCAGTTGACCATCCGCGTTGAAGCTTGGCTCTCTGGTTAAATGGTCTGACATGTCTATAAATAAGAGAGGGGAAGAGGCGCACATATGCGGTGTGAATTAAGGCTAGATGTGAATACCGTGAAGCTTGGGTTTATTTATGGAATATCACGTCTTGGTAGCGGCAGCACAGTTAAGAGGCTGGAGCAAGATGGGATGACGGGAAGTCAAATGACGGCCATCCCTCCCACCGTTTTCTGTTGTGCTAATGTAGACACGATCATTGGCCGGGGCAGGTCAGCGGAAAAGGAAGCAAAGAGCTCTGTGCGATCGATGAATTGCACGCCATCGGTACGTAGTGCCCCTCAAACCCCGGCTCCGTCCCGGACAGACCTCCGGGAGGTTGCAGTGCGCTCCCCTGCAGGGCACGTTTCCTTGGACTTGTTTCCCTCTGCTCGTCCCAACCTTTAGATGTTTGCGCATATGTGACTTGCGTTGAATATTTGCATTTGCTTTCGGTGTGCAGCTGCCAAATCATCCAGATTTGCAAACTACAGGGCTTCTCGGCTGCTGTAACGGAAAGAGTCGGCATCTGTGTAATTGGATGTGCCCGTCTTTCTGAACGCAAGAAGACATGTAGTTCTCCCAGCTCTCTAGAGACTTATCGCTTGAAAAAGAGTACATCTAGTTTGCGTCATTATCGTAATTTCGCATCTATAACATTCTCCTCGAGCCATTTCAAGTCTTCCTACACTCGATGCCGCCTCCGAAAAGTGCCGAGGGCTCTTTATCCTGACCCAATCCCTGGAGAACAGTCTCATTTCGCGGCCATGTTGAACCGCGAGCGAGCCGCAATTCAATCACCACCAAGATGCCTCAGCGTATTATCCCGGCGCAATGAGCCTGCCGCCCGCGACCGTTCATCTGGCCCAGACGAACCTCAATCCTGGGACTCACACGGAAACTTTTTGGATGGACTGCGCTGCAACCCCCCATCCGTGAAACCCCCGTCCACGAGATCCCAAGGCGGCAGCAACAACCCCGGTCTCTCGCTTCGACTGAGGTGATTTGTATTACAGAGGCCCGGGCAACGCAGCACAATATTTTTCTCCCGGGTGATCAGCGAGGAACGGCCCCACCAGAGGGCCCGCACGATGACGATGGCGGTTCGGCCTTGTCAACCTCAACCTCAACCTCATGCAGCGAGCTCTTTTCCTTTTCCATCCCAGTGCCGGGATTTGAATCTGCATGCGGATTTGGTCTCCTGTCTCATTCGCCCGCCTCTCTGTTTACTTTGCAGCACTGGGACTTGGCAAAAGTACCCAGCCCTTTCCATCACACTTGAGCATGTCAAGAGAACGCTACAAGTCCTGGTCGACGAGGGTCCCCGGGACCATTTCATCTCTCAACGGCCCTCCTGTAGGCCAGGTTTACTAGCCCCCAATCCCATCCCAAATCGACTTCTTGCTTCCCCATTCTTCGTCATAGACTAGACATAGCGGACAGACGGTCGTCTCCACGGCCGTTCTTCACTCCCATTGCCATCTCAACATTACGCACGCCGCGGCCGGTGCCTTGCTCGGCGGCCACCGGTCCATCGCCTGAGCCGCTTCCCCCTTCAATGTCGCACAAAAATCACCACGAGACGACGCGGTCGCTTCTGTGTTTTGCGTTTTCCCTTGTACACGGGTGCTGGGCCAAGACCCAGGTACCAGCCCTCCTGGAAGCACACAGACTCGCACAGACTTGGGATGATGGCATCGTCCGGTGCCGGGCTTCGATCTCCCGCAGCCGCATGTTCTGTTCCTAGCTTGAACTAATCTAAGTAAGGCCAAGCAGCGCCGCCGCCCTCCTGGGCCTCACAACTGCCGCAACGGCGCCCCCTCCACCCCCCTTCCAACCACGCTCCATCGCCCTTCTCACGCCAGTTCTAGACAACCCGGACCGAGCTCTAGCCCCTCTAATAGCCCACGTTGTCTAGATGTAACCTTATATCGAGCGTAGGCTGGATCCATGGGCCATGGACGGTAGTACCGTCCATGTTTTGCCTGCCTCGCCCGTGAGGCACACAAACTGCGGCCAAGGCATGCCATGAGCACACAACATCAGAGGTCCGGGACTGTGGGCGCTTCTGCGATGAATCACAACAACTCGTTTTCCAATCTCACAACATCTGTCGCCCCCCTCTTTCCTCCTTGGGCGCCCCCCTTTTTGTGGGGGGCTGCTTGCCTGATATGATTATGATGCTGTTATTCCTCAGTCCTGGCCGTGCCTCCTTCGCAGGAAGCAGTGCTGTTGTGCTCACCTGCCCCGGGATGTGGATGTGTTTTTGTTCTGGGCAAAGCTGCCTTCCTGCCTTAGTGCCTTTGCCGGGCCGGTGAAGACCTCCTCCACAAGCTCATGATTAGCAATACCGGCACAATTCTTGGGCTTGTGCTCTGACAAGTGTCATTCTCTTGCCGATCTGCCCTCGCATTGAGTTCAGCATGCTTTTGCCCTAGTCGTCTTTAGCTTGTATAGAGCTCCGCTTGTCAATCCAGGCCTCTGGAGTTCATAAGTAGGCTGCCGCCCTCCATTGTTTTCTCGTTTTAGTCGATAGTCTTGGAAAAGTACCAATCCTTTCCGCATAAGACATTGGAAACGTTCCGTGGTCTGAAGCTGGTTCTGATATCCAGCAGGCGAGCTACTTGTCACAGTCAGCCCTTGGCGCACACCCAATATGCATACCACCCTGCTGCTGGCCGGCCTCGGCCTGGCCACCCTCTCCTCCGCCGGCTGCCCCTTTGCAGATCCGGCCAACATCAAGGCGCGCTCCGATGATGATGGCTCGCGGGATCACGTTGCGAGCTACGAAGTCGACGACAGCGAAGGCTACCTGACGTCCGACGTTGGCGGCCCAATCGAGGATCAGACCAGTTTGAAAGCCGGCATCCGCGGTCCCACTTTGCTAGAGGACTTTATCTTCCGCCAGAAGATTACTCACTTTGACCACGAGAGAGTAAGAATCTCCTGAGCTGTCGTTCGCTTTCATGGCTAACCAATGCGCCCACAGGTCCCTGAACGAGCGGTACATGCCAGAGGCGCCGGTGCCTACGGAACATTCACCAGCTATGGCGACTACTCCAACCTGACCGCTGCGTCATTCCTCAGTGAGAATGGCAAGGAGACGCCGACATTCGTGCGGTTCTCTACAGTCGCTGGATCCAGGGGAAGTGCCGATACGGCAAGAGACGTCCATGGGTTTGCCACGAGATTGTATGTACCGGCCAACATCTGGTGAACTTCATGCGCTAACGGAATAGCTTCACGGACGAGGGCAACTTTGATATCGTGGGAAACAACATTCCCGTGTTCTTCATTCAGGATGCGATCCAGGTGAGTGCCCGTTGAGAAAAGCACCAAAAGCACTGATCTGACGATCCATAGTTTCCCGACTTGATCCATTCCGTCAAGCCTAGCCCCGACAACGAGATCCCCCAGGCGGCTACCGCTCACGATTCGGCATGGGACTTCTTCAGCTCCCAGACCAGCACTCTGCACACCCTGTTCTGGGCCATGGCTGGATACGGCATTCCCAGAAGCTACCGCCACATGGTGAGTATGATTGTCTCGGAGTTCAGGAAACATGGTTAATAACAGTCTCAGGACGGCCATGGCGTGCACACCTTCCGCCTCGTAAAAGAGGATGGCACCTCGAAGCTCGTCAAGTGGCACTGGAAGACTCTGCAGGGCAAGGCGAGCTTGGTCTGGGAAGAAGCCCAAATTGTCTCGGGCAAGAACGCCGACTACCACCGCCAAGACCTCTGGGACGCCATTGAGTCCGGCAACGGCCCCGAATGGGAGCTCTGCGTCCAGGTGCTCGACGAAGAGGACACCCTCAAGTATGGCTTCGACCTCCTGGACCCTACCAAGATCGTCCCTGAGGAGATTGCCCCTCTCCAGAGGCTTGGCAAGATGAAGC